GATATGGGAATGGAGATGGAGGTGTAATAACCACTTTCGGGGCTACCTTCTCAGTAACTCGATTTTTGGGGGTAATAATTAGGGGACAACTGGCATTGTATACCCCTTTAGACGATCCTTCTGAAGCGCAAACTTCCGCTTCCTCTTCTTCAGCAATCTCTCTAAAGAACTCAATTTCTTTACTGTCCATCATGTCTTGTACCAAAGATAGGAAGTCAGGACATTGCTGAATATTGTGTCCTTCACTGTTATGATACAGACATACCTCTCCACTGTTAAACTGTTCACCTGTCAAATTGGGCTTCAACAATCCTACCTTGACCATCTGGCACCACACCCAACTCATGGGTGATACTACATCACTAACCTTCCTTACAATTCTCTTTCTTTTCTCTTCAATAATCGCGTTAACTCCTGCCCCTGCATGGCTTGGCAACGGATTCTGAGCTATATTCGGCTGCTCACTGTCACCAAAGTTGATGACATTCCTCGTTCTCAAAGCTTGGAAAACCTTCTTAAAAGCAGTACAATTCTCAATGGAATGTCCGGGGTTCCCTGCATGGTACTTACACTGAGCACTAGCATCATACCATTTGGGAAAAGGAGGTTGCATTAGTGTCACGTGATACGGCGAAACCACATGCCAATCATACAAAATCTGAAATAATTCCTTATAAGTCATCGGGATGGGGTCAAATTGAGGCCTCTCTCTCCTCTGGTCCCTTGCCCCTTGTCTATTGTCATTTTGTGTCGATGACCCTGCTCCTTGAGGACGGGAAACAGTGATGTTATTAGAATCGTACTGCCTCACATTACTGACTTCGCTTTCCTTTTTCCTCGTTGGTGGCCTCTTACTGATTTCGAAACAGAGATTCTGGGTTCGATCCCCAACGGAGTCGCCTAGCTGTCGAAACGATTTTTTTCCTTAAAGGTGAAAAAAGGTGAGATTTTGAAAACCACATTAATTTTTAGTTTACCTCTTTCAATTGATTTTTAATTTAAAAATAAATGCGATTTAAAAGACCTCTCGTTTCGAAATTTTTTGGATTTCCTTTATGATCAAAAAATACGGTTCAAAGAGTCGCCACCAATCTTTGATTAGGGTGTGATTGGGCACCCAAAAATGCTTTGTCATTTTAAATAAAAATTAATTTTAATTAAAACAACAAATTGAGGCCTGCGTTACCAAAATCCGAGTTTGGGAGTCGGTTACGTGTGGGGAAGGATTAGCACCCCCACAACGCCCTAAATCGGTACCTAATCGATTAATTAACGTCCTTGCATTGAACTTTACAAATTCGAATTCAATTTGATTTTTGATCCCATAAAACAAAAATGTAAATTTAAAACATTCAAAAACACTCAAACAAATTAAAATAAAATTACCAAGTCATTTTAGAAAGATAAAGAATGTTCGATTATTTACAAATATCGAGACCAGATCTTAAAGATATAACAACCTTTTCTCGATATATTTAAATAAACGAACATTTCTTTTTCTCTCGTTCCCAAATTTTAGGTGACAAATCCATTTTTTGGTTTCACTTTCGGGATACACTTTTAATTTAAAATCATTAGAAGCAGACTTCAAATCAGTTATGACAGCCCCCTTGAAACAATTTTAAATTAAAAGTATATTACCCTTAATCCAATTATGTAATAGGTCGAGTTATGCACGTGAGGCTATTATACAAATTATACAAAAAAAGGATGTCATGCGAAAATTAATTAAATAAAATTAAAAATGTCATACCACGTAACATACAAAAATTATATACATACATTTTAAAATTAAAAATTATAAATCATGCATATTAACATATAATGTACAAGTGTGACTCAAATATAAAAACAAAAACATAACATACTAAACTATAGATTTTCACAAAAGATATATACATATTAGAATTAGGACTAAATTTAAATAAATGTAAAATTCAACATACAAATCAAAAATAAACCAAGGATCTAAATATAAGTATAAGCATAAACTAAAATCCTAATAAAATGCAAAATAACATACTAATGCATGCACATTCAAAAAGAAATCAGAAAAATTAAAATAAATAATGGATTGCTATGTAAAATGCGTCTAAATTGAAAGGTCTAGATATAATTTATCCCTAAAGTCACAGGGGCCAAACGCTAATTAACCCTAAAATTATTATATTTAACTTAATAATAAAAAAAACCTAAACTAAAATATCACCTAAACGCTTTCTAACTCCCCTCACCCCTCTTTATTCGCATTGCCCACACCAGAGGATGGACACCGGCCACCGCTTGGCTGCTCATCTTTCAACCTTATTCTATTAAATTTATACGAACGCCACTCAAGTCTCACCTCCTCCCCTCTCCTCGTCTTCTTTCTCGGCATTGCACTCTCTTTTGAACACCGTCGCATCCGTTCGGCCACCATATCTTGGTAACCTCTTCTCCACTCGACTGCGGCCCTCTCATCGCTTTGTCACTTCCTTCGAGTTTTTCGCCAGAAATTGAAGTAAGTAATCAAAAGTGTAGTTGTTGGGTAGAATGATGAAAAATTCTAAGGATTTGTGATTAATTTTAGGGGGCTGTAATTTGGGATTTATGATAGGAAAAAAAAACTTTAGGTTTAGTTTGGGTCTTGTAATGTCATTTGTTTTTTTGTGGTTTTGATTAGGAACCAACAATGGTGACTGTTGGGATTGGGTTTGAAACCAATTTACGAAATCAAATGGAGCTTTCGTGGATCTTGATCAAAGGGGACGAAGGGTAAAGAACGTAGAATGGATCATCTAGGACTGTTTAGGTCATTATTTAAGTTCCTCCGGGATTCATAGAGGTGACCGAAGAACAAGATGGCCACCAAATAGTGGGGAATTGTAATGCTTTTGTGGCCTTCGATCCTCGCTGTCGAGAGTCTTCCCCAGACGAAAATTTCAACGACAGGTAAACTTACTGTTCTCTCACCATTACCTACTTATTTCTCTTAAGACTTTACCTCTAACTTACAGATGATAGCTACTCAAGGAAACTTAACGCCCCAACTAAACGCTAAGTGATGGCTACAATACAAATAGGGAACAGAATCGAGCAAGGTAATGTAACAAACAAGTTTTTCCTGTATTTTCACTTGTTTAGAAATAAAAATACTTATAAAAATTACTAGAAATTGAAATAAAGAGAAAAGATACCAAAATAATTGTTCCTTGCTTGTTATTGCTTTCCTGAAAAACGACAATCCAACCTCTGTTACAATGCTTGATCCTTTAATATCGAAAATGTTGTTTTTTTTAGAATGGTCTCTGTTTTTCTCTATCATCTATTGTCTCCTTGTCCTCCCCCCGTTTCTTTTCTGTTTTCTCTTCTTTTCTATCCCACCATGGTTGATAGTTTCTAGTGGTTAAAACCCCCTCAAAACTGACCATTTACAGTTTTTTAATTCCCCACTATCTAATTATTCCAACTACTAAAAACCAACCTGGATCTCTTTCTTTTTCTGCATCCAACTGCTGTCAATTGGTCTTGAGCTGGACCTTCATCTGGTTTGGGCTCATCTGGGCTCTCATTGCTTCGGGTCTGCTCCGACTTGGCCCCGGACAGAAACGAGCATCTACATTTGTCTTGTTTGGGAAATATAATAATGGTTTTGGGATGAGAAAGTTTCGTTGTACCTTTATTGGTTTGTGATAGTAGAGCTTTGGACCTTCGTTCATTGTTGAGATTCCTTTTTCGTTAAAGCTTCGATCTTTCTCTGTCCTCACGTTGCTTGCGCCCTTGCTGATTTGATTAGCCACCAAACATTTTAGTTTAAAAATTAGTGGTCACGTTATCAACTTTCAAAATTATAATCGAATTAATTAATTAAAATTTTATTATAATTAAATTATTTTTTTCGTTCAAAATACAATAAATTTATAATAAAGTATAATACAAAAAAAGTAATTCTTAAAATTTATAAATTTTATTAATTTAATTCTAATTTAATAAATTTAACTTTGGTATTTAAAAATTATAGCAATTTAGTTTTAATTCTTCTCTTAACTTATATCATGTTATCTTTCATGAGAGTTGATACTAAAATAAATTTAAATACATGGGAAAATTAAATATATAGGTTATGCTTAGGAAATTGAATACAAAAATTATTTTTTGTTTGTTCATATCACTTATTCGTATAATTATCTTTAGGGCAAATTATATTGTTTCTCACTAAATTATACTCTCTTTTATTTTCTTTATCCAATTTTCGATTTGATCAATTTATTCATTGAATTTTATAATCGAATCATTTTGCTCACACGACTGTTTTATCTCTAACAGCTAATGATGTAATATTTTATTATTATTATTTAATATAAAATAATAAAAATTAAAAATAAATACATAAGGTGGTCATGCCACCGTCGACTGCCGTAGATGGTAGTCATTCGGTCCTAAAATGAGATGGATCACTTCGGCTCGACACCTTGAATCTGAATCTAACCTCCATTTTGACAGAACTTAATCCGAAGTCCACGAATTTGAGATTGAAAGTGAGAAAATCGAAACGTTTCAATCCAACTTCACGGGTTTTGAGACATTTTTCGATAAAACAACTATCAGATTCAAACTCAAGAGGTCGAGACGAACAAACCCATGAAATTTAAGACCGAATGGCTACCATCTATGGCGGATGAAGGTGAGAAAAAGAAGAGAAGGAAAAAGGATAAATTACACCATGAGTCACTGTATTTTACTCTCATAATTTACTCACCGAAACGACATCTTTTAAGAGTATATTTGAGTTTTTTATAACGACGTCATTTTAATGTTTGTATCACGTCATAACGCTACTAAATAGTTAATGGCAAAGTGAGCAAAATGATTTAATTTGTAAAATTTAATGAACAAATTGATCAAATTGAAAGTTAGATGAGGAAAATAGGAGAGAGAATAAAGTTTAACGAGGAACTGAGTAAAGATAAATTAGACTTAATTAAAAATGCAAACCATAATATTAACAAACTAATATTCGGTTTGATTTGGGTATCATAAAAGTGGAAACAAAGGCAAGTCAAATATAGTGGGGAAAAATGGATAATCAGAAAATAGAAAATTGATTTACAAGTTTACATCTATGCTTGTTCTTCCAGATAGTCTTACAGGTAATGACAATTGAACCCACAAAAACCAGAGGCGGTAGTCAAAACAAATTAACAAACACAGTTCAGACCCCCTTTATGGAGGTCACTTTTCCTTGATCAGTTCCAAGGGCGGCTGCCACCATAGCCCTTACCTCGGTCTCGGAAACCACCATAACCTGCTTCGTTAGATGAACAAATTAGTAGGAAAGATTATGTATCAAGCTTTTAAAACCTGCTTACAACATGCTATGGAGATTCTTATTCATGCATAAAAGTTGAAAGTAATATATCCGGCAATTCATCCGGTTCACTTCTATTGGATTGAAGAGCCAGAGCAATGATCTCCGTAATGTGTGGCAATGCGCCAATGTTTTCTTTAACACCTCGAAGCAAGTATCTAATCGTGCAAATGCTACGAGAACTAACTAAAACTATTCGATTTCATTGAATTTGCTTACACCTGCGTGTTCCAAAAGGAAAACAGTAAGCTAACCTGATGGAGGAGGAGGTGCTCCACGTCCCATCGCTGCCAATTCAGGACTGACCTTTTGTCCAGCTTCCTTAAGTATGACAATAAGGTCTTTTGCGAATCTGGCATTTGCAGCAGTGAAGAAACTGTAGGCAGTTCCTTTTGCCCCTGCCCTTCCTGTTCGACCAATTCGATGGACGTAATCCTCAAGAGATCCCGGGAAGTCATAATTGATTACATATTTCACGTCTTTCACATCTGCCACCAACTAAATTTAATAAATAATCCAGATGACGATGCCAGTCCACGTTAGAAATGTGTACCCCATGGTCCCATGCTATTAATACATACCTAAGCCACGAGCTGCCACATCTGTTGCAGTCATTATAGGGCTCTTGCCAGCTTTAAACTCTGAAAGGACCCAATCCCTTTCAGCTTGACTTTTATCTCCATGAATCGAGAGAGCAGGCCAACCATCCATGCGAAGTTGCCTGGTGATTTGGTCACAACCTTTCTTGGTATCCATGAAAATCAAAATTCTGCTGCCATCCATGATATCCTCCAGCAGCTTCACTAGTCTGAAACACCAACACAATAAACAGCCTCGACAATACTAAGTGGTAAAAAAACCAAAACCCATTCAAACAAAGTAAACTGTTCTCTACTTGTTATATTTCTGACTCTCCGAAATAATGTCAACATGTTGACGAATCGCATGGTTAGCTTTTAAATCCGCAGATCCAATTATAACCTGTACAAAAGACATATGGAACAATATGTTTATGTAAATAACAGAAATTAGAAATAACAAAGTCAGATGCCAAAATCCTACTTTTTCCTTGAGATCAGATTTAACAAATTTGAGAAGCCAAGAGTTATATTTGGAAAGACTAAAAATTTTCATGTTATAAAAGAAAATAGAGAAAGCAAATGAGATAATACATAGAGATCGCAAAAGCATTAGATAGAAAATCAAATGTCAAAACAAAAGGCAATTGGTCAAATTTCCTCACAGGAGAAGGTAATTAGTAAAAGTTGCCAAAATTGTGAAGCATCTTACTTTGTATGGATTGTAAAGAAACTGCCTTGACAATTGTTCAACCTCCTTTGGCCATGTTGCACTCCAGTATAAAGTTTGACGATCAGGACGGATCTGCATTAAATATAAGTACCACTCAGAGAAAGAGAGAGTGAGTTAGAGGGTGAAGCTAATTAATGAGATTGCTTATATAAAAATTAGAGGTCCTACACAAATCACATATTCTTTACTAAATAGAAATTTGGACAGTAACACCTATACTTTTGCATTTTAAATCATTTTTCTTCAGATAGTTGCACGGCTACATTGTACTGTAACCTAAAACAATGAATCTATTATTTTCATGAACAATGATAGCACTAACTTAGACTTCTGAAGTCAGCATTATTATCACCCTAAAGAGTTGACTTCCACCACATCACTTGGATAAATTAAGCAACAAGCACAACTAGCAAAGTCTGACATCTCATTTTTTAGAAGTATGATACTTGAGTTAAAAAAATGAAAATGTCATAGGAAATCATTATGCTCACAATGAACCGTCCACATACATAAGCAGTAACTTGTCAGTACTACCCAAATTGAGTTAAAAAATGTAAATTGTCATGGGCAAAATGGAGGGGGTTGAGGGGAAGTACATAACGAAAGAGAAAGGTAAGAACAAAGACCTGAGAAACAATTTTTCGTATCTGAGGGTCAAACCCCATATCTAACATCCGATCTGCCTCATCCAAGACTAAATAAGTAACTCTTCGCAAATTTGTATGATGCGAGTCCAACATATCTATCAACCTTCCTGGTGTAGCGATAACAATCTCAACACCTGATCCAACAAACAATATTAACACCCAACAAGTTCAAGCAATTACAAACTAAAAGATAACCAATTATTTAAACTAACAATAAACATGTCAGAAAGCATCTTAAATCAAACCTGTGTATACGAGAGCACAAGCAGTTCAGGAACAACAAAATACAGAGTAACAGCCAAGCCAAGCATATTACCACTTACCTTTCTGGAGATCACGCACTTGAGGTCCCTTTGGAACCCCGCCATATATGCATGTATTTTTAATCCTTGATGATGCTCCAAACTTAGCAGCCTCTTGCTGTATCTGAACCGCAAGTTCACGTGTTGGAGCTAATACTAATACAATTGGACCATCTCCAGGAGCTGAAATCATATACAAAGAAGCCAAAAGTTATTCTGTCCCAGTTATTAAAAAAATGCTGAGAAAATTAAATCATGATAACGAGTGAAATTTTTACCTAAAATTGGCTGTGCGTTTACATGAACAATTGCAGGCAATAAATAGGCAAGTGTCTTCCCCGATCCAGTTTCAGCAATGCCAATGAGATCACGGCCCTTCAAAGCCATTGGCCAGCCTTGAGATTGGATGGCTGTTGGTTCAACAAACCCTGCTTTTGTAATCTCTTGCAACACATAGTCTGGAATAAGAAAAGAATATCAATTATAACAGAAGAATCTATAAAGAGATAAGAAAAAACCAAAACACTTACAAACAAAATAATTTTCAAAAGCTATTATAAAATTCTGTATAAGTAAGAAATACCAAACCACTGTAAATCTAACAACCAACCTAACCATCAAAATGATATTCTTTTTACTCTAATATAAGACGTACGCACAAACACTTTTGCACAACAGAAAAACACTCTTAGACTATTTAACAATTCATGACACGGCAGCAGTAAAATGTCAATGATTTAACATCTAGAAGAAAGAAGAGCATATCAACAAAGATGTAAGTAAACTAAAGGTTTAAGATGACTCTAATTACTAAGTTTACAATGAGCATATCTACAAATATTGTCAAAACTATGGCTGTCTAGTTCAGTCTTGAAGCACATCGATGTCTTCTCTGCGAGCAAACACATATTTGAGAATCTTCAACTAATAAAAAAATATTGGGCCTGTCCTCTTGTCACTAATTGAATCCAAAATGTGCAAAGAACACAGAAAACTAGCTAAGTAAATGACAAAAAAGGTTAAGCGTTAAATAGGATTCATCAACTACGTTCTCCATGCAATAAACCTCGGCCAGGTTATAAAAAGGCACACCTAGTATTCTGGTCGCTAAAGAAAACATTTCCTTTAACGTGATTTTTTCATTAACAGAACCAGCAAAAATTACCCGGAAATCCCACATCTGCAAAACTCTTCACAGGCTTTGGAACATCACGACCTTCAACTGTAATTTCTCTCCGCTTCCTATATTCCTCCACCTCTGTCTCTGACATTGCTGCCACCGAAGGGGATTCAACATAAAAATTCTTTTCGAAAGGAGTCAAACCATCCAAATCCAACTTCCTAGGTGGTTCAGCAGCATCATAGTCCCTTCTGCTGGACAAGGGCCGCACCGAACCACCGTATGCTGAAGCCCCACCAAACCCTGAGCCACTGTACCATCACAAAGAATAAACAGAGAAGCGAAGTAACTACGATGTTAGATATGAGACTAGAAACTTCAAGTATTACAAAAATAGAAGATTTGCCTATAAACCAAAGTCAGCGTTACAATTAGTGAAATGCAGCTATGTTTGAACTTAAATTATATCGTTTAGAACGATAGGTAGCTAAAACAACATGAATTTCACTGAAATATTTAACAGAAACAAATTCAATTTAAAAAAAAAATAACATTAAGTCTCCTGTTAATCAAAACTAAAGAAACACAAAGCCTAGATGAAAAAACACAGCTAAAACTGAAAAGAAACAATAATTAGTCAGTTCTAATCCACTAATTTCGGGACAAAAAAGTGCAATGACTGAACGGATTAACCTAGATATAAAAAATACCCAGAATAATAAATGACGTTAAACATATAAAAAGTGAAAATTAGATTAAAATTTTAAGGGGCAAACGCAAAAGTCTAAGTAGTTACCTTCTGCGGTCACGGTAGGAGGAGGGATCGCCGGAGCGGCTATCATAACGACTCATTTTCTGTGCTGCAGTTCGTGAGATTATCAGAAGTTGCTTCGAATGCAGATGTAACAAAAAAAACTCGAATTTTCGGCCTGTCTTTATTCTAATTAATGGTTTAGGGTTTTCATGTGTCAGGGTTCAATTCGATAAAATTTTGCACTTTTCTTCAACTGGGGTGAAGAAGAGAAAGGGAGAAGTAGACTTTCCTTCTCGAGGCATGTTGTCCTTCGTGCCTTTTTATCGGTTAAACGACATCGTATAGGTGGTAGGATGAAATTAAAACATGATAAATAAACGGGGTGTAAATGAAGATAACATTTGATCAATTGCTTGTAAATCTTTATGTTAGTTTATTAATTTAAATAAATTTATTAAACGAATGAATACAAATAAAGATATGTTCTCTTCATTTATGTTTACGAATAAACTTGTTTATTGCTTTATTTATAGGCTTGTTTACTTATTCATTTATCTAATTCTCCTTTTTTTATATTAAATATTAGTAAAGGTAACAACTAAATTGAGTGAATGATAAACTTTGAAGTTCAACTTGTAGAGTCTAAAGAATTTAATGATTAATGATATAATTTATCATTTTTTATTTATACATTTTTATCCATATATTAAAGGTGTCACACGTACGTGATCATTTCCCGCATTTAAAACAAAGGTTAGGTAGCCTCTCAGTAAAACTATCATTCAGTCCTTTGAAATTATAAAATTTATATAACATGGATAAACTACTCTGGTAGTCATTAAACTTTTAGGATGCTTTTACTTTAAATGCATGTTATATTCACTAAAATTTTAATTTATTTTTTATTTGATCACTAAATGCTGACATGGCACATTAAAGTTTTCTTTCTTAAAAGAATTCTTAAGGTTTTGCATTCACTACAAAGTTCAATTTTTTTTATGAATGAAGCGAGATTAAAATCTCAATAATGGAAATGATACTTTTAGTAAAAAAATATATAGTTTTTAATTGAGATTTGAGTAGACTGAAAGATTTTTCAATAAGTTTAAATTGAAAGAAAGAAATAAAAAAAAACAGTAGTTTAATGCTTTTTTACTACATAAACCATCAAATAATGACAAAAACAACGTCAAAATGAGGTAACAATCTAATAGAATCTAAAAGTTAACATTTTTTCAATCCACCATTTGTAACTGTTGAATTAGGGATGGCAAACGGGTACAGTTTCGTAGATTTTGTATCGTATTCGCTCCAATTGGAGTTGGGATGGGTATAATTTTAGCGGGTAGTGGGCGGGTGTAGATTTATAAAGTGGTACCCGTCGTGGGTGGTGGGCGGGTAATGGGTTTGAGACATTACTCACCCCGCATCCGCCCGCCCCGCATCCGCCCGCCCAGCTAAATATCTATTAAATTTTGGATCATTATGAATTTAGGTGTAATTTTAGGGACTAATTTATAAATTTTAATATTGTATAATATATAACATATAATTTAACCAAATATTAAGGATATTTAGTCTTTAATCTGGTCTTTAATTAGGGAAATATTCGGCCCTTTGATTAAACTCATAATCCCACTAACCACGTCATTTTCCATGTTCTTTAGCCCATGCTGCCCATTCAAACACAAATTAGCCGTACTATATGCATTAACATCAAAAACAACAGTTTCCATGTTCTTTAGCCCCTCAAAACCCATATTAGGCGCACTATGAGCATTAACATCGAAAGCAACTCAACAATCCAGCTCTGCGACTACATGCTCCCTACAATATGTCTCCAAAACATTCGTAGAGCCACTCCTCTGACAAATTGAAGCATGCGTTGCTACCTTATCACGAACTGTCTGGGAACCAACTCCAACATCCCATTAGTTTGCTGTTAGGCGGGTCTAGATGGGTACGTCGCTAGTGGGTAGTGGGTGTGGGGATGGATTTGAAAATGTACCCGCGTGGGCGGGTGTGGATTTGAAAATTTGTACCCATCATGGGTAGTGGGCGGGTGGTAGATTGAAAAATATTAGGTGGGTATGGGGATGGGGGAGGGAGTATACGCACCTGACCCGCCCGTTTGCCATCCCTATGTTGAATTAATTTAAAATTAAACTATATTAATCTTTTGATCAAATTAAGAAAAAATTTCCATCGTTATAGTGGCTTACATTTACCTAGTTCATCGAAAATTAACTCTTGTGAAACCTACTAAGTTATCTTAGTGGTAAAATGAAATGTTATTCTCTTTAAAAATAATGATAAAATTAAAAATGATATAAATAGTATAATGTCTAAAATTCGATGGTGTTGGTGATGTTTGATGTTGTAACGGGGATTAATGGGAAAAATGGTATGTTATAGTCGCGATCGACCGTTACCCGTTAAATTGCGGCCGTTATCGGCCGTTATGGGTGTGATTCCGTTTCACACCATGATTTCGACTGATATCGGTAACGAAGACCGCCAATACCGTGATATAACTGTCGTTATACCGTTACATGACCATTTTTTGAATCCCTAGTCTAAGCTCAAACGATACTTCAGCAACTTTGGTTACATCCTCAACTCTACGTCGTCTAATTTCACCGACGATTTCGATGACGAGCTTGAAAAGGCTTTAAAGACATACTAGCAGAATTTCAACCTTGACGTTACCGGTCAACTCGATGATCGGACTCTCGAACAGATCGTGCGACCCAGATGCAGTAACGTTTATATTGTCAATGGAACATCTTCCATGAACTCCGGTAAATCGTCATCTTTCCAAACCGTCGTCGGACACTTCCACACGACGGGTCATTACACTTTCTTCCCCGGAACGCCGCGTTGGCCCGTTAACAGACGGGACTTGACGTACGGTTTCTTACCCGGAAATGAATTGACGGACGAGGTGAAGACAGTGTTCACTCGCGCTTCCCAGAAATGATCCACCGTTACGCCTCTGACGTTCACGGAAACGGATTCGTACTCCACCGCCGATATCACGATCGATTTTTACAACGGAGACCATGGAGACGGAGAACCGTTCGATGGGGTTTTAGCATGATATTAAATTACAGTCGCAATGCAGGGTAACGACCGCATCGTAACGATTTTGAAGGTCACCGTGACGCAATATTAACGCGACGCAATATTAACGCAACGTAATAAAATATTTTAGAAGTATTGTGATTTTTGAGGAAAAAATCACGCCCGCGACAGCCGCAACACGTTACATAACGTCCGCAACATCCGCAACCGTGACAGATGCCGCAACTGCTATTTTATACTATGGGTTCCATTTAGATGCTGACGAGAACTGGGTCGTTTTCGACGACGTCTCGAGATCAGCGATGCCTTCGACTGTGGATTTGAAGACGGTGGCGGTCCACGAGATCGGACATCTGTTGGGGCTGGGGCATTCATCGGTAGAAGATGCGATTATGTACCCTATGATCACTTCGGGAACGAGGAAAGTGGAGCCGGGAGATGATGATATACAAGGGATTCAATCGTTGTATGACAGTAATCCTAACTACAATGGCTCCACCACGCCGACCACCACTACGGAGGACAGGGAAAGTAGTGACGGTGAAATACCTTACTCGGCTTCACGCTGGACCCTTGCCGGATTCTTGGCCATTGGAGTTCAAATCTTACTTCTATAAATTACTCATAGAAAAACACATTGTTTATATATATTTGTTTTTTATTAGGTAATTTCATGTGTCATTAAATTAATTAAAATCATATTGTATGGATATTTCTAGTATTAACATTACCATTTATTCTCTAAGATTTATGTAATGTCACCCATTTTTCTAGAGGTGTGTGTCTATAGTTATTTGATTACATGAACTAATAAGTATTTTTTTAATATATTAAGTGGTAGTAGCCACTGAAAATGTTATTTTTAGAAATTTTAATCAGTTATATCTACATAATATGTATGTGTTGTTAAAATATTATCTTATAATCATCTTAGGTTAAATATTTTTCGTTATTATTTTAAGTGTCTAATTTGCCACAACTTTAAAAAAATTCGTTAACCACTTAAAACCTAACACATTTCAAATTTATGTTAAAAAATTAAAGTTATTTTCCTAACAAGGTCAATTTGTTTTAAAAAAAACTTAACTCTGTTACTGCATCAACCGTTGTTAAATGATCATCCACTCATTGTTAGATCTTTATCGTCACTAGAATCCCCTGAATCCCTAAATATACTTAAACCCCAAATCCTAATATTCTTAAATTCCCCTTTTCCATATGTTCTCACCATATGCCTAATATTTTGATATAACAAATAAGGACAAAAATGTTTTTGAACTAAATTGAATTTGTTCAAACATTGCAAAAATAAATATAAGTTTTTAAAATCTGAAATAGGCAATTTAGGCCTGGTTTACCCCTTCAAGAGGTTTCGAACCCTCTATGGCAGAATGCAAAAATTGCCAAAGGTTTCAAAACCCCCATACCAACGGTAAAATATTTTAAATGCAGGTTTCGAAACCCATTTCCAGAATTGCAGATTTTTCAACTTCCAATGGCTTCAAATCATCCCTAACGGCTAATAACTTATTCCAACATATAAAAACACTCTATAGACACTTGAAGAAGTACATTAACACCTATCCAAGCAATCAAACACAAGAGAAAAGTTTTTCATTCTTTATTTTCTTTCTCTTGTAAATATTTGTGTTTTTTGTGAGCTTTAATTTGTAAACACCTTCCTTTTTAGAGGTTTTCTTGTTTGTAATTCTTTTCCTTTGTAAAGGGGGTTTTGGTTCTAGCTAAGCCTTTGAAAAGTTAGGGAGTTTGTAAATGTTATCTCTTTATCCTTGAAAAAGATAGAACAAATTAGTGGATTTGTTGGAAAATCCTAAGTGAGGAGCTTAGGTAGTAGATGTAGACTTCATTAAGGGAGTTGAACCACTATAAATCATTGTGCAAAATTTTCTATCGTTATACTTCTTACTCCTTAAACTTCAAAAAGCTAATTCACCTTCCTCTTGGCATATTTCAGTTGATCGATCGATCCTAACATTTAGGTCGAGTCAGGTTCAGATTTAGAGTAAAAATATTCGACCTGAAAATAATGTAATTATACCTTATATATTTAGGAATAAACTCATCTCTATATTGTTTTTCAATTAGATCCCTATTTTCTAAATAAAAGTAATATTTTTTTATAAATATATTTGTTTTGGGTTAGGTCGAGTTTCAAGT